AAATATTACTAATATATTCAATAAGTGAGAGGTTACCTTTTCTTGTTGTTTGAAGGTTTTGAAGTAAATAAAACTCCCTTTCTTGAGAGACTGTCTTGTGCAAAGGCATGGCCTAATGCTTTCTAGACACCTGCTAATGTTTCAAGTGTCGAAGAGGAGCTATGCATATATAAAACTAAATTAAAGTAAAAAACTGACATTAAGAATACATTGGGTGGGTTTGAATTAGATGCTGATAAATTGAATTAAGCAAGGATGCACTCCCTGTATACATACTAATTTTTTTTAGTCCTGCATCAAAGCAATGACGTACCAAATAAATGCCTATGTATATCTACAAGCGTGTGGACACGAACCTCTACTTGGTGGAATATAATTAAGAATTAAGATCTTCCTACATAGAGATGGGGCTTTTCTTTTCTAGAGTAAAAGTTGCCCTTCTTCCATAACCCAAGATCAAATCCATTCTCCATATTTCTAAAATGAATCCTTCTTCCTTTCTTTTAGTATTTTTTGCTAGCCTCTCACAAATTAAGAGAGTTTTGTTCAATTCATTAATAAAGAAGCTCAAATTGTTGCAACCGAACAGGAGATCAAGGTCATATTAGGTTTATGTAACTAATTAGTTAAGAGCTCGACCATTATATTTTCGGATAAGAAGATTACTAACTTGTTTAACAAAAACTAATTATTAAAAACATTATTATCTTAGTTACAATTACCTATATCTTTAGCGCTTTTATGCGTAAAGTAGCATTGTTTATGTTAGCATACAGTTTTTTATCATGGTTTGAGTTCAAACTCACAAAGACCTCGTATATTAAACGAATCAAATCATCATGGTTTGAGTTCAAACTCAAAATATGGTTGTGGTACTGCCATGTCGATGATATGTGTTTCATCATTTATCTTATGAAACCTTACCAAATTATCAAATGCAATCATGCGAATCCCCTGTTTACCATCATTGGAGAATGCTATGACATGCGCCCTTTAATGTACATAACCTTTGTTCCAACCGAAAGTTTAGATTTTACTGCCCAATGTGCTCCAAGAAAGTAATTTTGTTGTCATTCTCCAATATAATTTTGTGATCTCATCTTGCCATCAAATCGCAATATTGTCCACAATCCAATGTTTTTTGACCGAAGTTTCTTTTCATGCTATAAGTGAATTAAGTCCTTCCTTAAATCCAAAGAATGATAGGTAGTGATACCCCATACGAGAGGGAGAATTAAACTTGTCTAATCAAACTTTTAAGAAGTGAAGATGCTTTTTTCACGAGAAACCTTTTTGATAAGTATCTAATAAATATTAAAATTTAAATATATATTCTCAGTGAATTTGGAGTTCAAATTGAAATTTTTAATTAAACTAAAATTAAAGGACATTTAACTTTTATCTCTGGGGTCAGACAATTTTTTTATCTCCAAGATTAATCCCTTTTAGCATTTTGTTTTTTTTTTTTGTATAATCAATACAAGAATTTATGTCTGAGGTGCCCACCTCGAGCTATCTTTCCTTTTCATTTTCATTTTCTGTTGTGTTCTTTTTCTTTCTACCTTTTACGATAATTTGGGAGAAAAAGAAAGCTGAATTTGGAATCTCTTTTTCGATAAAAAAATTAATAAGACAACCAATCAATAGTAACGTCTTGATCATTTCTTTTTTGATAAACTGGGACATGAGAATGTTGAATTTGGAATATCCTTTTCAATGAGAAATGTGACAACCAATTAAGTAATGTATGAGAAAACAATTGGAAGTTAGCTCATAGGAATTGCATTCCTATTATCTCTTATGCACACTATTACAGAATCCGTCATATTGTTTAGGAGGGCTTTGTTTTTTTTTTTTTGGGAAAAGCATTAAGGATATCAAAGATCCCAAACTATGACAGAATATTAGGCAAGCATAAAGGCGACCCCGTCAATCGTTAAAAAATCTCTTCACTTTTGCTTACTGAAATGATAAGGATGAATACCAGAGATCGATTAAAATTGTCATATCCATTTCTCTGGAATTGAGTCGATAAGATGATTTATTTCTCAAGAGCTAGAATCCTACTCAAATCATGTAAATCCCCTAATTCTTTGGGGCAGATAAAAACAAAACTCGAAAAGCTCCACCTTCACCGGGCCATATTGAAGCAACAAGTCCTAGACAAAGAGAAAAGTTGCCCTAGTTTTTGGCCAGGCAAAATTGAGTGGCTAGCGAGGACAAGTTGGAACCAAAAGGGAACAAAGAATGCTAAACATATCTACAAATGCGGAGTCAAGCAAACAAAAACCAAAAGGATAGCACACCAGCACCAGCACCAGCAGCAGTGCCAACATAAGCTTACCATAGTCTGTCAAAGCTAAAATGATTGAGGAAATAATTCGCAGTCCCCACCTTGTTAAAAAAAAATTCCTGGCCTGAATCAGAGAGGAGGGACTTATTACAAATCTTGAACCAAAACCACTCCCAAGGGGCCACACAGCCATTTGCAAGGGGAGGGGGCGGATTCTAGAGGAAAATGAGTGCTTTCTTTGATTGCCCTCTGAGGACACTATGAGACCCCATGGGAGAAGACTGAATCCCATTACTGATAATGACTTGTTTGTTCCTTTGCACGTTTGCTTTTTGTTGTGTTTTTCTAGTGATGTAACTCCAATTTATATTTCTCATAGTAACAACTAACAACTTAAAGCAAATGGAGAAAAAAGAAGTGAGTGGATTACATAAGTATGACTTGCTTTGACTATGTATGATTATTCAATAACTCCTTTTGAGCAAATCTAACCGGCTAGATTTTTTTTTTCCCACTAATGTCATCAATAATTGTCTATATATATATATAGACAACGCAAGCCTCGTACGTCTGAGTTTAGTTCTCTCCATTACTCTCCTAATACACTTGCATTTGACAAATTGAATAGCTATTAAAGATAAACCTCCCTTGCAACATAGTCATTAGAAAGCGAATTTAGCAGAACTTAATGCAGATGAACTGCAACCAATTTCTTAGATTATTTCAAACAATTAGCTCGTTAAAATTTCAAAAAAACGGGTTGAGTGTTCAGCAGCAGTCACTTTTAAGGAAAGCAGAAATGTTCCCCGGTCCAACTTTAGGGGCCATAAGAATTGCAGCAGGGCATTTGGAGATCAGTCCACAGAAACAACAAAATTTTGATATAGTGCAGACAGTCAAAAAAGTACTCACCGTGTAAAGACAAATGAATTTTTCAGTGCTGCTCGAAAACAGATAAGTGCTAACCTCAGCAACTGTACGGGAAAAAACACTGATTTATCTACAACTTGCATGTTCTTTGAACATGTCCGTCATAAAGTAAGCCCACCTGAGAGGCACCTCTGATTAGGATTACTTGCTCAAATTCCTCTACGTTTCTAAGTACTAGTTTAGTAGATTTCAACACTTAATTAAGTTTATATGATAAGTGAACAAGATTGCCTCTAAAAAAAGATTTTGTTTCATTTAACGCAAGGAATCCCACCTAGTTTCAAGTAATACTACCAGTTAAGCTTAAAGACTTAAGCTTACCCTGTTTTCACGTTTACTTTGATTTTTTCGATGTAAATGTCAGTATCGTATGAGCAATCGAATTGAGATGTTGATAGGGCTAAGTGATCATGTACAAAAGCGTGAAAAGGCAAACAAGACAAGGAACTGTAGTGCTCTTTGATGCTTTTTCCCATGTTAACCAAGAATGCCCACTGGATGAAAACTTGACTATTGGTTTGGAAAACAAATGGATCCACTAAAAAGTTTTCAACGTCATAACCTAAAAACCGACTGTGCATCAACCAATTTTCAGTGACTTTATGAATATAATATAAAATATATGGTGTTAAAAACTGGTTATAGCAGAAGACAAGTTGTTCATCTTGCTGCAATGATGATTTCTTGTTCATTTCGAATTTGTTGGACGGATTAGATTTTTGGATATGAATAAACAAGCAAAACAAGTCTGGAAGGTTACCGAATCCTATGCCTTTGCTAGGTGCACATCATCTAAACTAAAATGCAAATGATATATTAATTTAATAACTTTCTTCCCTTCTCTTTTATTTAACTTATTTGACAAAAGAAGGAATCATCAACCTAAAAGGTGATTTACCATGCGCATTTAGTGGGTGGGAGGGGGCAAAGGTAGCTAAATTACATTACCAAAAAAAGTTTAATATTAAAGCTTGATATCTGTTTAGGTAGGAAGAAAATGTGAAACATTAATAAAATAACAAAGATTACTACATCAAGGAATTCGATTTATGAATGGATGAGATGGACACCTCCAATGAATTCTGCCTACTCTAATTGCTTGTATTAAAGTAATGTTACGAAAGATGCAGCCGCAGAAAGGAAATTCAAAAAAAAAATAAAAGAAAAATATTTCTTTGTTCTTCTGTCGGGTAAGAAGCTGCTAAGTAAATGTGACACCATGATTATCCAGAGAAATCAGCACTGGAGTTTTAAAAAATTCCATTTTGGCTTACTTGGCATATTGGTAACCACTAGTTTTGTACAATGACAGATAGCTAAACGGAAACAGGGATTGGAGAGAAGTCAGATCCATTGACAATAAAATTCATCTACATTTCGGTGAATTTGGGCAGGTCTAATCGAATTAAATACTTCCCTAACTTTATCTAAATTTAATTCATATTCCACAGCTGTTACAACTTGCGAGGAGATAACCTTCCAATTATAAAGCAAACTCATGAGAAATAGAATGTCTTTGGAGTCTTGACTGCTGTTCTCCTTGGGCCAACATGAGCATTCCCCCCATCTCACAATAACAAGCATTCGCCTCCGAAGTAAGCCAGCCCACTCGGCTGCGTGGAGGAAAGAGCATTTTTTCTATTTCTTGTTCTCACACTCAATAATGGATCAGGAGATAGCCTTCTTGTTCTCACCTTATATCATTTTGAGTATGGCCTTCCGCCAACTTAGCATGTATTACTACCGTTTTCCCTTTTCTGTCTTTCATTTTGTTTTGTTTTTTGTTTTTGGATTTATTTTTCAGATTTTGCATCCTCAAAATGATGTAAATTGGCAGAAAGGTAAGGTAGAGTGATTAGATTGCATTTGGGAGTTCAAATATAGATTTAGATTTGAATCTTAAATCGTTAAGTTTCAAATATTCTGAGTTGGAATTCATGAATTTGATATTTTATGTTTGAACTATGAATTTGGAATTGGAGATCTTAAACTTCTAAGAAGGGTGGGAGTTGCAATTGGGTTTTTGAATTCCACAAAATCCTTTGAGATCCTAAATTTGGAGTTAAGAATGCTTAGGATTTAATCAAATGCCAACCATCCGTAACATTGGAAATCCAAAAAAGGAAGAAGCAGAACTCAATCACCCTGTTTTCGTTGTCCTGCTTGATCTCTATCTACAAACCTTTCCATCTCAATTATCTATTGAATGAAGATATTTGAAGATTCTGCTGAAGACCTTTGTCACTGCATGAAAGACCTTACTACTGAACTTGACTCCAAAAAGGGTCAATCAAAACCACAAAACAGCATATGATTCCTACAAAAACTCTTATGGTTTTGCACATGTGAAACTAGAAATTCATTCACCGTGATAACCTGCTAAGAAAACTATACAAATCTTCTTACAGAAACTTTTACATATAAAGGATACCTCCGCCATCATAACAACTAAGCTTCATTTAAATAAACATCTAAAAACATAGTAAAGTAATATAGTAGTACTAATCTAACCGCTGCCACCACCACCAGCAGCAGCTGAACCACCCTGGCTCCTCCTCTCATCCGCCTCACCATCAGTAGGTAACTCGTACCGACAAAGCGGACAAGTTGCCCTTATTCTCAACCATGGGATAATGCAATCCCCATGGTAATGATGCAAGCAAGGCAACCTTTTCAGTATCTCCCCTTCTTCAAATTCCTCAAGACAAACTATACAGCAAAACCCATCATTTTCTTTTCCAATCTTAATCTCCACAAGCCCTTCCACCACACTACTTGCAGCCCGACAACTTCCATTGGCCACAACCTCGCGTTCTCGAAAATCGCTAGACGACTCGTTGTCGTTTCTAAGATAAATACTAGATAGATAATTTACATAGTCGGGCTCAGCATCAAAATTTTCAACATTCCCCAAATTGAAAAGCAAGTCTATTTCCATTTCCATTTCAATGCTCAACCGGTGAAGACACGGAGTCAGATGAATACCTGACTGATTTCGACCAGACTTGAATTGTTCTGGTGGTTGGGTACTTCTGAGTCCAAATCAAAACCCTGGGCTTCTTCACAATCTGGATGACACTAAACAACTTGAAGTTCATGCACCTGGGAATTCTCTCCTTCACGTAGCTCACCGATTTTGACACGAAACCGGTTCCCGACCCGGATCTCCACAAGTGGTCAGCTGGCGGTTATTTTGAAAGACCTCGCTGTCTATATCAGACATAGACTCCAAACCTAACTGGGGACACGGGCCTTGGATTGTCCGACTCAGAGCAATTGGGTGTTTGGGTTTGGGTTGGTTCTGGGTGGGTTGTTGAAGGTCGTTGGTGCTTGAAAATTGGGCCATAGCCACTAGTTCTTCAGAGGGGAAAGACAATTTTTGAAATTGTAAAAAAGTGTGGTTTGTTATGAAATATGTGAATATTTAATATATTTATTTATGTTAGTAAATTTTTATCTCTTAATTACATCTGGTGTATGTGCATTCCTATTCACTAAGTTTATCATTCCTATTTATGTAAATTCATCCCCTCTCCATTTATGTGTGTCTATAAATAGAGATATTGTAGTTGATGGTAGACATATTAAAACAAAAAATGAAATAGAAGATCTTTTTACATTCTTATTACTTCTCTCTAATATTCTCTTTTAAAGTTATATCTCACAACACATCATCAACATGAGGCTCTATCCAACTAAGAAAGTAATTTTTTTTAATTCTTCAATCATTCAGATTTTAATTTTGTATATCATCCAATTAGCCTAAAGTCAACAACGAAACTTGAGCCTCCTTCCATCTCCTAAAGCAGCGGTCGGCCCCCAAAATACTTGAAGTTGTTAATATAAGTACAAATAGAAATCACTAAGAAAAGTGAAGATGTCTATTTGTTTAATGGTGCAACGACATATACCATACTTTATGGCAAACACTTTTTCTCAAGTGTAACATTGCGTAAGACAGATGCCCGTATAATATCAAGTCTTGTTGGGATTATTGATGGCCAAAAAAATGCAACAATTTTTTTACCAATGACACCACCTTGCATATCGAGGATGCATTACTAAGCAGTAGATTGAAGAGGAATCTACTTAGCTTCAAATATGTATGCCATAATAGATACCATCTTGAGACAATTCATGAGTAAAATAATGAATGTCTCTGCATCACTTCTTATAAGATAGACTAGAAAACCATCCATGAGAACTTGGAAGCTTGCCATAGGATTGTATTGTGTCACTATTAAAGCTGTTGAATCCTACGCTACCATGTCTTGGAGATTGGCAAATCTCGATGAATTTGGATTTTGGCATGATTGTCTAGGTCACCCAGGAGTTACAATGATGTGTAGGATAATCCAAAATACTAGAAGACACCCTTTAAAGGATAAAAAGATTTTGTTATCCAAAGATTATACCTATGAAACTTATTCGCAAGAAAAGCTCATTACCAAACCTTCTATGACAAAGGTAAATCTTGAATCTCCTTCATCCTTACAAAGAATCCAATGTGATATTTGTGGATCAATATAACTAGCAAGTGGGTTGTTCCAATATTTCATGGTATAAGTGGAAGCATCTTATAGATGGTCCCATGTTCGCCTATTATCTAAATGTAATATTGCCTTTGCACATTTACTTGTGTAGATTATAAAGCTCCAAGCACATTTCCTTGATTATCCAATCAAGAGCATAAGGATGGATAATGTTTATGAATTTATATCAAAGAGCTTTGATGCTTATTGTGCTTCACTAGGAATCAAGGTTAAGCACCCGATTCCACATGTTCATGCTTAAAATGGATTGATAAAATCTTTGATTAAGTGCATCCAAATTATAGCTTGTACTATATTATTAAGAACAAAGCTTAACTATTCAACATGGGATCATGTTGTTTTGCATGCAGCAGCAATAATTAGATTACGCCCCACTACTAGTCTCCCATGTAGTTGGTTCTAGGCTATGAACCAAACATTTCACATTTACGCACCTTTAGTTGCACTATGCAAGTGCTTATAGCATCACCAAAAAGGACTAAATTGGGTCCCCAACATTGTTTGGGCATTTATGTTGAGTTTGATTCACCATCCATTATTAGGTTCTTGGAACCAACGACAAATGATCTTTTTACTTGATGAAACAGTGTTTCCACTGATTAGGATACCTAAGGCTTCCATAACTGAGAAATATAAACCAATCGAGATTTTCTCCTAAAATGAGAAAAATCTATCTCATTAAGACTTAAGAACTCCTAAATGTGAAAATGAGGTATAACGTATAATCCATTTACAGGCAATTGTCAATAGACTTCCTAAATGCTGCCAAGGTTTACAAAGTCTTATATTCCAGCTGTGAATGTTCCAGCTAGGATTGTTGCTCTTAAAGAATAGGCTGAAATAGATCAAAATGACTTACACTTAAAACGTGAAAGACTGATAGGATTGAAAAGACAATGTCCATAGAAAATGAAGGGGGAGGAATCAGGAAACCACTTCAGAAAAGCCTCATGTTGAGCTTGCTCCAAAAAGGCATATTGCCCCTAAAGAGGCACAAATCTGTGAAAAGACCACTAACCTTGAGAATACTAAGATTTTCATTACATATTGCAATGAGATTTGCGATTAAAATGGGACAATCATCAATAATGCTTTTGCACTCTCAGTTGCTTATGAGATTATAAACGATGATTATGAACCCTGATCTATTATTGAATATCGTCAAAAGCATGATTGGCCCAATTAAGAGGAAACAATCTAGCCTGAATTAGCTTCTCCAACTAACCAAAATGTTTTTAGGCCTATAGCTTGAACCTCTAATAATGTAAAGCCCATTAGGGCCAAGTAGGTCTTTGTTCGAAAACAAAATGAGAAAAACAAGGTCGTAAGGTATAAAGCTTGACTTGTTGCCTAAGGCTTCTCTCAGAGACCTAGGATTGATTATGATGAGACATATTCACCTATGATGGATATGATTACCTTACGTTTCTTTATCAGCCTAGCAGTTTTTGAAAAACTAAAAATGTATCTTATGGACGTTGTGACGGTATATCTATATGGTTCATTAGCCTCTGATATTTATATGAAAATTTTGGAAGGATTCAAAATGCCTAAAGCATACACCCCTCGCAACTTATTCTCAATAAAGTTACAAAGATCTTTGTATGGGTTAAAGCAATCCTATTGTATATGGTATTAGCATTTAAGCAAGTACCTAATTAAGAAAGGGTACAAAAATGATCCTATCTGTCCATACGTGTTTATTAAGAAATTGAAATTTTGATTTTACTATTCTAGCAGTTTACATCAACGATATGAATTTGATTAAAACTCTAGAAGAGTTTATCCAAAACTACTCAATATTTAAAAAGGGAGTTTGACGTTAAAGATTAGAGTAAAATTAAACTTTGTCTTGGTTTGGAGCTTGAGCACAAAGCAAATGGCATACTTGTCCGTCAGTCAGCATATATTGAAAGATTGCTTAGACGTTTTAATATAACAAGGCTCACCCATTGAGCACCCCTATAGTTGTAAGGTCTCTGTATTCTCAAAAAGACCCTTTTCATCCTAGAGAAATTGACGAAGAGATACTTGGTCCTGAAGTACCATATCTCAATGTAATTGGGCCCTTGATGCACTTGGCACAATGTATGAGACCGAATATCACTTTTGCGGTAAATTTGTTGGCACATTTTAGTCTTAAGCCAACCTAAAGACACTAGAATGAAATAAAACATATCTTTCATTATCTTCGAGGATCCATAGATTTGGGATTATATTATTTCAAGAATTCCACTAATTTTGTTTTAGTTGGAAACATTGATGCAAGATATAAATTTGATTCGCACAAGGCTCATTCTCAAACTGGTTATTTATTTTACTATAACAACACCACCATTTCTTGGCGCTCTATTGAGCAAAAACTAGTAACTACATCCTCTAACCACTCTGAGATTATTGTTCTATATGAACCAGGAAGAGAATGTGCTTTTTTGAGATCCATTATAATGCATATTGATAATTATTGTTGTTTAACACCAGTTACAAATTCTCCCACTATAATTTATGAAGATAATGCTACTTGCGTTGCACAAGTCAAGGGATGATAAATTGAAGGTGATAGGACCAAGCATATTTCATCAAAATTTTTCTACACTCATGAATTTTAGGAAAGTCGATAAATTGACATTAAACAAATACGATCTACCAATAATCTTGTCAATCTTTTTACCAAATTATTACCAATGTCAACATTTGTGAAATTAGTATATGGCATTGAAATGTGAAAGGTTAACAAAATGAAAGATTAAATTGCCCCAGAAGTGGTAATATGGCTCAATTGAGGGGGAACAATTATGGACCATGCATTGTACACTTTTTTCCTTTAGACCAGTTTTTGTCCCATTGGGTTTTTCTAGATTAAGGTTTTTAAAGAGGCAATACAATGGACATTTAAGGAGGAGGATTATGAAATATGTAAATATCCATTATATTTCATAATACCCAATGTATCTCCCCATATCCAATGTACATATTTACGTTGGTACATCCCTATCCCCTATATATGTTCATTCCTATCTATTAAGTTCATCCTTAATATTTATGTAAATTCATTCCCCTTCCACCTACATGTGCTTATAAATAAAAGTATTGTAATTGATAGTAGATATACTGAAATAAGAAATGAAATAAAAAATCTTCTTACATTTTAACTACTTCTCTCTAATATTCTCTTTCAAAGTTATATATTACAACATGGTTATAATTCTTTTATTTATTTTTTTTTGTGGATTTACCTATTTTATATAGATGGGGTTATCAGAATGTTTGATTTGGTTTTGCAATTTTCCACTTGATCCCAAAAGTTATATCTCTCTTTTTTCTAAATTTATATTCGTCAAGGTTCAGGTGATCAAGCCCAAGGTTCAAAGGTCGAAGGGACACTCGTCTTACTATCTTTTATTCACGTTTTTTTCTCAATATGATTTCAGAGACATAATTAAACCAAATAATTTTGTATTGAATACAATAACACGACACCATGAATAACATATAGAAATTTTATCTTTAAACTTGTCAAATTCGCTTAACTCATTTAAAACATGTTTAATTAATTGTATTATTGTATAACTCGTGACTCGCTTATTATTTATTTAACTAATTATGTAAATGTGTCTATCCAATATATTTTTGCTCAATTATGATTTGGTTAAGCTCCTATATAAATACATTTTTTATTATAATTAACGATGATGGTGGTAGATTTTATTATACTTGATGAACATTATTGTTTCGTTATAATTGTTTTTATAATTTTTAGTTTTAAATTTACATAATTATAAATTATATTTTAGTTGTAATTATA